GGGAGGTTTTCTAATCCCATAAAGAGTTACAATCTTAGAATCCCACAGGGGCTTTCTCCCCAGGCCTCTAGGCTTGCCATCAGTCAGCACGGACTCATGGCAGTGAGTCTGGTTGTGTTTCGGTTGAAATAGGATGAGCAGAGGCTTATTTATGCCTGAGAACAAGAAAGAGGCAGGACTGATGTCATCAGGAGGGCAAGCGGTGGGGGGACATCCATTGCCCAGGAATGAATTCTGACCTGTAGGGACCCTCTCTATAGGGTTTCTGATGGAAGGCAGCCTCCTCTGTCTCCCAAGGAGTCACTGGTGGGTTTGAACCACCAACATGACGGTTAGCGGTCCCACACCCAAACCACAGGTCACCAGGTATGCGCCCTGTCTAGCGTTTCATCAATAAATCTCCCCACCACCCACAGAGCAGGCATGAGGACACCTGAGGGAGAGCCTACGGTGCTGAGTCGGGGCAGGGGAGTGGCTTGTTCCAGCTCACACAGCCAGTAAGGGGCAGAGCTGCCCAATGCAGGGACCCTGCCGCCACCACACCACGCAGGGCAGTCTCTCACCCGCCCCGCAGGCTGGCAATGAGAAGGGAGGTGACACCAAAGGGTGGTGGACATGGGTGGACGGAGAGCGGTCAGAAAACAAACACAAAGGAGGGGATGAGGGAGAGCCTGTGGGAGGTGGAGGTGAGTAAACAAGTAAGAGGCAGGGAAATGGGGGTGGGGGTGGGGGGAGAGAATATACACTAGAAACGAAAAATGACATGGCTGATGCCATCAACGCCATTGACGGTTGACCAGATGACCGAATTCTGAGGTTCTTTGGTCTGTGTGAAATACAGCATGTAAGTTCTCATTGTGTTGGTTCATTTACTGCTAGATCCCTAATGTATGGGCGATTACCTGATACAGAGACCCCCAAACACGCCACACAAAAAAAGGAAAAGCCAAGCCCACTGCCCTTGGGTCCATTCCTGACTCAAGGTGACCCTGTACAATGTTTCTGAGGCTGTGAAATCATTCTGGGACCAGACAGCCTCATCTTTCCCCAGCGGAGTGCTCAGTGGTTTTGAACTGCCAACCTTGTGGTTAGCAGTCCAGTGCTGACCCGACAGCACCACAGGGCCTCCTTCTGATACAGAGGAGGCGATCGGGACAGCGCGGTGGAGCAGGTATCAGGAACAAAAGCACAGATAACGACCCTTCGCAGGGCATTTCCCCCATGCACAATGCCCTGCTCATCTTTTACAGCTCCCATGTGTTGAGGCAAAAGCTGAAGCTCAGATCCAGCCACGAGTCTGAGGTCACACCAGGGTCTGAGTACAGTACAGCCAAGAAGACTGCATGTACCCTGGAATGGAAAGGGGTTGCATAAATAAATCAGCCTTAGATGAAATCCCACCTGAATGTGGCACAGAGGTGAGGATGGCTGAGCATGGGCAAAAACCAGGAACCCTCTGTGACGGGCTGACCCAGCAGCCGCCAGGGCCTCCCACACACTGTCAGCCACAAAGGTGGCACAAGGCCGGGCAAGCCTGAGTTCTGTTGGACAGAAGGTCAGCCTGAGTCCCAGCCAACTCCATGCCTGACTGAGATTCAGATTCCACGAATGGGCAGCAGAGCTCCAGGCACTGGGCTGAGTGCATTGTGCACAGGAGTGTTTTAACGTTCTATTTGTCACACTATTTCAGCCTGGAGGCTGCCCTTTCACAAAGCCATGCTGTGATCCCCATGTGTAGGTCCTGGTGGCTCACTCCCAGTCCCACACCCTGGAGGCTGTTTTGGCTTTAGCTGGGTGGCGGTGATTCTGCTGTCACAATGTCCCGGTTAACCAGAATCCTGAGAATCCCTTTCACTCAAGCAAATCCCACCTGAGTTCTCGCCATGATCCAGACAGCCTGTGGGCATGGAGAATCCCACAGTCACAGCTGCTGCCCTGAAGGTATTCCCAGCTGGCCGGGAGGAGACAAACTAACAGCTCAGCCCAGTGCCAGGTGCCAACCCCAATGGTGAAAGAAGCTTCAGGGTGGGCAACCCCACCTCACCGAGAGGACCAGGGATTGCTTCATAGGGAGAAGACCCTTGGCTGATTCTGGATGAAGGTGACAGTCGGGAGGAAGTATGGGACAGGTTTGTGTGCCCAACAGAGCAGGGTCAGTGTGAGGGGAGGCCTTTGATGCCCACAGATAATGAATTCTACCTTTAGGACCCAGAGAAAAACAGCCTCTCAGCTCATGGGTCTGATTCCTTTAAAAGGAAAAAAAAAATGTCCTAAGTAGTAAGCCCGTGGTCAGCCCAATTTCCTGGTCCCCCTCTTGCCACTGACCACATCCCAGAAGAAGGGAATGGATGCTTCGGATAACACATTTCAATGTCTTGCAAAATCCTAAATCATCAATGAATCGTTCAATCGTGCTCCTTTGATGGGACTTCCTGCGGAGGCCTGAGGAGGGACGCAAGCCGGATACGCTGCCTAAACCTGCCTGAACATCCGCAGCTCAAAACAACCCTGTGAAACGCCCACCCCAGCGGCAGCCCCACCTCCACCTCTCCTAGCCCCGCATGGCTCACCACCTGGGCACCGCCACTTTTAGCCATTTCCAGCCCAGGTTAGCAAAGGGGAGGCAGAGCCCTGTGTGGCCAGTGGGGAACCCCAGAACACGCTCGCTGTTGGATCTCAGGCCCGTGATGTCTGCACCCTCGATATGTCCGCACAGCCTCGTCTATACATCAGAGGTGAGAGTTCGCACCTCACAGGGCCAGGCTGAGGGCGATCAAGGAGAGATGTTTACATGGATGAAGATGCCTTAACCGGGACACTTAACTAAGGCCACCTTCTTGCAAAGCTTAGCTTTTCCTGCATCCTCGTGGGAACCTGAGGCTATGCATCTTGGCAGTCACATCTGCGTCCTTCTAGAGAACTGATGACATCCATCAGTAGAGGGTTGGCAACCGCCTCCCCGTCTGGACACGGCCGACCCAGGGGTGCTGACGATGGGAAGGGAGGAGCAGAACACACACGGAGATGGGCGATGGGCGTGTGAGAGACACGTGAGGCTGAGTATACATGCGTGTGTGCACTCAAAAGATCTGCTGGTACTTTTTTCATTGGCACATACTCTAGCATTAATGTCCATTTGATTTAAGTGTTGGGCCAGACACGGAGATGCAGACATCATTCCTCGATGCCTTGGACCACCTAAGGAGGACAAACCGAAGAGGACCCAAGGCCTGCTCATTAGCCAGGTCTCCTGCAGGTCACACACACACACACACACACACACACACACACACACACACACATAGACCCCCAATGCCAAGTTACAGCT